TATCAAGCAGCATAAATTAATAACTACAAAGACATTTAGAACAAAGAAACCTACATCGCACAGAATAAGTTTCATTACCAATTAACATAAATAGAACGTCCAACCTACATCGGTTGGACCGCGGTCCCCGGGCTAACAACACCTAGCTCGGAGGGAGACAATTATCCTTTAGTCTCCCTGGCCAGTTGTCTCCATGTTACTATATAAAAATATGAAACAACACCACTTCTTGCATTTTCATTTCAGTATCAAAAAATGATATTGAAAACCTCAAACATGATGACAGTAGCTAACTGAATAATATCGCGCGACAAGAAAATTCGGAGTTGTGAAATCTTTCGAAGAAAATTGTCTCCAGATTTCGATAATATTTCAGAACGATCAGTTTTGCCCCACATAACAAATTATGTAAATAAAAATAACAATGCAATTAAAACACCTTCAACGATTTCCAATTTATCTGAAGAATTTGATCGAAATTATAAAGAGAAAGCTACAGTGAATGATGAATGTATTGATAATATAAACAGCATAACTTTCTTGGATTTCGATGATTATATACGACATAAATGATCACAACATGAGCACTCAAAGTGAGTCCAATACTTCAACAATTATATTTCAAACCACTAGCTTAGAAAACATCCACGAAGTTAGTCAGAACAACGGTGTAAATATTGCATAAAAACAGAACGTATCTCAAAGTCAGTTGGAAAGCCTATTGAGGAAGATGACATTTTAAAGTATCAAAATTCAATACAAGAAGTAGAAAATGAATCTGAGATAGGAACTAAGTCCAAAGAAGGAAATAAACCTAAAGAAGAAAAACAAATGGAAGAAGAAAACAAGTCTGGAGCAGAAAATAAGTCAGAAGAAGAAAATGGGTCAAAAGAAGAAAATATATAAACCTAAAGTAAATTTTTTACTAGAAAACGTAACAAAAATGAATGGCAAAATATGAAGAATAAATTGCTTAAGAATTCTGGACAATTTTATTCCGGGGTCAGTTCTAAAAGATCCCCCAAAAAGCATTAGAGATCTTTGCAAATTCAAAAAGAAATGCTGCGAAAAGTTCACTGATAAATACAGAAAAGCTATCTTTGTGTCTTATTGGAGAATTGGTGAGCATGAAGATAATGGTAATACATTTTAAGATGCAAAAAGAGAAAAAAGTTATAACTTATTTTTTATCATTAAATGGAAGCAAAGAATAGGTTTGTAAATCTTTTTGTTTGAACACATTAAGCATATCTGAAAAAAAAAATGTTTATACAGCTATAGAAAAGAGTAAGAATGACGAAAACATACATTAAAGGGGAATACAATAAAAACCACGAAAAATAAATATATCGACTAAACATAGCATTTTAAACGCACATCAAGCTCTTCCCTGTAGTAAAATATCTTTACACAAGAAAATAATCAAAGAGATTGTGTTTGTTAGAAAATTTAAACATAAGTAAAATGTATCGCCTGTATAACGAGTGGTTTAGTAATCACAAAACCGATCACCCAGAAGGGTGTACACAGAAGCGACCAAAAAACAGTATGAATTTTATTTAATAAACTTTTTGATTATTCATTTTCAAATCCAAGAAAGATCGATACTTGTGCTTTGTATGAAGAAAGAAAGGTTACCCTCGAAGAAACTTATAGATCACCCATCAAGATCAAAGAAATGGCACAAGAAATAAAGAACAGTTGCTATATTTGATCTCGAGCAAGTTTTAAATACCCCGCAGTCAAACGTAGGAGTATATTTCATTATAAGAGGAAATCCCCTATCTATAATTTTACCATATTAAACATTTAAATCTTCAAGTATACTGCTACGTTTGGCACTATGAAATAGATGAAAGGGGAGCTATAGAAATCGGTTGTTGTCTTTTAAATTTCATCGAAAACGAACACACAAAACAAATACTATAAATGTAAGCCATAATGTTAAACTCCAAAATACAAGGTAAAAAATGATTTTATCACATAAAAGCGCTCGCAGACAAAATATATTTGTTACGGGATTTTATATGTAACAAAGTAATGTGGTCAAAAATAAAACATATAGATCCTGATATACTATTTGTAAATACAATGCGATATAAATACGAAATTCGAATTTGAGCCTCTAAAAACTTTATCTAAATAAACATGTGGAAGAACATCAAAAAAACAAATATAGTTTATTAAAAAAAGTATTTTAATTAAAAAATAGAAAAGAATGCAAACAGAAATATTTAGTTGTTATTATTAATTATTTCAAAATGCCATTAATGAATAACTGATAGATCTAGAAATAAATTGTTTGTTGTTTGGTTAGTTATTTTTTATAAAAAAAAACTTATTTTTTTATGAAATACTGTTGATTTTAATATAATTCTCGGTTTTTTATAGCCTTATCCTACTATTATTATAAGTGCGAAAATTTGTAAAGATAGGTGTAAAAAAAAAGGTGCAATAAAAATAAACATGAAAGAGATTTCTTGTGCAATGTTCAAAAGTGTACAATAATAGCTTATGATAAAGCGAACTAGAAAAATATAAATTATAAAGTTTAATATTTACATGAGATAATAAGTTTTTAATAATAATAACGTTATACTTGTATTTAAAATGAAATATTAATATTTTTTTAATTGCAACCTATTGTAAAATTATGTTATTGTATTAATTTGATGCATCATCTGGTTTAAACAGAATAAGCTGGGAATAAGAACATATATTTTATTACGTTATGAATTTTTCTAGATCTTTCCCAGAAAAAAGTCGTAAAAAGCTGTTACTCACGGCGAAATACAAGTCAAAATACATTGAAAACTGTTGTTATGTTTAGTTGCCGAGTTTGTCGTAAAGGATATAATGTAAAATAACGTTGTCACATCACTTGCAATTAGAATCAGAGAAAATATATGTGGTACATTACATTTTTCTTATTATTTCCTTGAACAACTTATTGATTTATTTTATTATTATTGTATAAGTTAGAGAAAAAAATCTATTTTAATTTAACATCAACAGAAATTATTTTGATCCAGTACTTTTTGAAATATTAACCAATTTATGTTTTTATTTTACCCTGTAAAGTTGTCATTTTTATTTTACCACGTTATTCTGTGGGGGCAGTGCCTTGTTACGCAATATTGTATAATAGTGTCTCATAAAATTTACTTTAATTTAATTTACTTCTAGGTGGTTAGTCTATGATCCGCTCGATGCAAAACGCCACTTAGATTGGTTAGTACAAGAACTGTACAAGGCAGAATCACTGGGCGAGAAAGTGCACATTTTAGCACACATCCCACCCGGTGTCCATGACCTATCTTACACCTGGACAAGGGAATACAATAGAATCATCAATAGGTATTGTTTTTTGTTTTATTTTATTATACTCTGCGGAAGTACTAGTATGAATTAAATATACATTTGAATCACAAGCAGTTAAGTAGGACGGCAACAGCTTTTGCTTTTGAGAATACTTTTCATAATCACATTGGATTTTCAATTCTCTCGCATGGCACAAACTTATTACTAAGTAACGGTACCTAGCAAGCAAGACGAATTAGTGAAATCCGTTTATTATAACATTGAAGGGAAACGATTAACACTGTATACAAAGAGAATGTCATACAAAGCATATGTATTATTCTTAGAAAATTAATAACTTCCAGTTCTTGATAGATAAATTAATTTCGTTTGATAGAGATAAAAATTAACTAATGTATATGTAAATATATACATAAGTTATATTTATATATGAGTTATGAACACTTTGACATTTGGACCCTTTTAAATAACATAAGTGCCACAAAATGAACCTAAAAAAATTAGCTGTTGGTACACAAATATAACAACTAATATGAGATTGTTTTATAGATTCACATCGACAATAGCGGCAGAGTTCAACGGCCACACGCATTCAGACGAGTTTAAGATTTTCTATAGTCCGGATAACAAGCCCATCAATGTCGCTTGGGGAGGCGGCAGCGTAACAACTTACAGTTTTTACAATCTCAACTATAAAATTTTAACATTAGATACCGCTACAATGGTAAGATACAAACGCTTTGACAGTTTTAGTAGTACAAACTATTACCGACACCAGTGGCGTAACTATACCGTTTATACCGTTACCGTTATTACCGTTTGAGGCCCATGGCAAATTCATTGGATATTCATTTTTTTTACTAATTGCATAATAATAAATGTCGGGAGTATGTAGCCTCCTCTGACCGGGGGCCCCTTCCAGCTGGGGGCCCGTGGCATTTTGCCGACTTTCCACCCTGTAGTTACGCCATTGACCGATACGCATAATCCAGATTAATGAACAGTATAAAGTCTGTGGGTACGATCAACGAATTGAATGTGAATTAATTTATGTAATATAATAAACAAACTTTTAAACTTTCGCGTTGTATTATATTAGATTGTATAAGACGGGTATTAACGCGATAGATTTCGATAGTTAGGCTATTCACCGACCTATATTCCCCGATGTTTCGACCAGGTTTCACCGCCGTCGTGACCACGGCCGGTGTAACCTAAATAAGGGTGTAGATTTTTGTAAATATATTTATTTTATACATGAAATATATAAAAAATAATTTTAATTTCACAATCTCCGCCGAAAACGATATCTTCTGTCATGGCGTCGCTACGTCATAGCGACGCTATCACGCCATTCTAAAATATCGCTCTATGTATGCTTAAGGTTTAATTCTCTAAGCTCTGATGTAAGTAGAGAGGAGTTACCCCACACGCTGTTTGCGGTCACGTGTTTTTTAATTTATGCTATATTATAAATATAATGAGTATTAAAGTATGATTACTGGTAATAATATATTTACCACTATAAAAAAATGTATTTATTTTCGTTTTCTATCTACTCCGTATTCAGACATGAAAGTACAAGGATTAAAAGCAATACACACTATTCACATTCAAATCGTTTTCGGAAGGTGATGTCAGGTCAAACCAGAACCACATAAACAGACGATCCACATATAGAAAATGAAAAATACTTTATTCAATTAAGATGTACATTTTTTTAACCAGGGCAGAAGCTTCGTATGTTGCCCTTATTTAGCTCTGAAGCTCATTCTTTTTTTAACTGTAAGAAGGTATTATACAAAGTTGATTTATGCGCCCCCTAACACTGACGCCAGGGACAAGTGCCCTCATTTGAAAGGAATACAGTGATTTGATAAAATATTCTGAATTTAATTCTAAATTATATATATCTCTATTTACAGGCACCCAACAACATTATGAATTACGTATATAATCTTACTGAAGCCAATCTGACACCAAATAGAAGACCCCAATGGTTCCTTCTCTATGATATGAAGAACACTTTTGAGTTAAGTGATCTATCTGCTACATCAATGGACGGTTTAGTGCACTCCATGGTGACCGACCAGCCTAGATTACTTGAATTATATTCAGCATTTTACTCTAAAATAAGCGATTACCGTCGCTCTTGGTGCAATGATGATTGTAAAATTAACAATTTATGTAAAACAGTAGTTACAGTTCTATGGGAAAGACAAAGATGTGAAGAACTAAGAAATCAATTTTTTTCAAGATAAGTCACTGAAACTTTTATGTATACTAACAAATGACGATTTATTTCTGCATTAATAAATAACAATCATTTAATAAAATCTGGGAACTTACAACTAGTGATCGAGTATGCTTAACCAAACAATATTTGGTTTAAATTTTAAATCTTCACTAGGTACTTTATCCAAGAGTGACAGCTGCAACAGAATAAAATATAAATGAATTATATATTCTTATTAAAAGCATCTATCTATCTATCTTATTAAATTGTATAAACTGTATCTTGTACTGTTTTGGGTCAGTGCATATGTGACGGAAGATGCGTCGCAATTGGCTAGTTGACTACTTTCTTTTGTTTTATAAATAAATAGTCCATTAAAATCGGAGAAATAATACAGAAGTAACAGCATGTCTGCAATTAATATTTACGGATCTGCATTTGTGGACAGCTGCTATTAGACAGCCAAAAATGCTTCCTACAAAATCTGGTAGAGGTGACATCTCTGGTCTATCTTTGTTATTTGTGCATTTATATTTAAAGTTGTTATAACAAACCTTGTTACATTATAAGTTACCAATTGAACACCATATATTATGTATTTTAACAAAATATATTCCAGAAACCTGTATTTGGACTTGTAGACAACATCCAAATTACCCTCACATCCTATAAAAAACACAAATAACCAAGTAGAGGTAATAGTAAAATTACCTTAAATAAATAATAATAAAACACTTACTTGATGTCTTACGTAATGAACTATCCTTTCAATATTTTCAGCATTAACATCTTCAGATAATGAGTAAAATCGCCTCCATATTGCTGCAGCCAGTATTTTATCATCACTTAGTCCTTCATCATAAGCTATAAGAGCAGCTTGGAATTGTTCTGATAGTTCTGATACTTGTTTTCTAGCTATTACTGGATTTGCACCCTGGAATTAAGAATCATATTACATTTCAAGAGTGATTTTTGTGTAAAATGGTTTGAGTTGGCATACTATACTAAAATTATACTTGCTTGAGAAGCTTCAAATACCTAATCTCACATAGTGCAAATTTGTAATAGGGCTCTTAATAATAAGTAATATATATCTGTGTACTATGAAAATTACCTTAGTGTCAAGACCAGTCTTCGACCTGTGATGACTTACAGAAACGAATTATGGTTGTTTACTATAGATATTATAAAAAGGCTGAAGGTCACTTTAATAAGTAAAATTATACATTATAAATTTTTCAACTGATTTTTTTTTAAAACTTACCTCTAGTAGTTTTATTTTATTTGCGACATCCGCCCATAGTGCTTCTATAATACAATTCCTGACAAAATGACCATCTGCTTTAATGTATTTGTTTTTGTCTGTTATTGCTGTGGCAATATCTTCAGCCATATAACGAACCATAAGCATCCATACATGCAACTCTGTGACTGTGAACCATGATACAAACGTATCAGGCAGCTCCAATTTCTCAAACCAATCCTTGTAAGCTACTTTGTCTGGTACTGATTCATAGAGGAAATATCCTGTCAACTTTAATTTCTGAAATAGCATAAATATATTGATACATTTTCTTTAATAAGTCTTTCTTTTTTAAACAAATCTTCTCAAGGCTAAACCACCCAAGTCTAGCTAGAGGCCAGGCATCTTCTAAAATGTCTCAAGATTCTAAGTCAATATAAGAATAAATTGATTCTGTTAAATAAGATGAAAGTTATAGTTTCACTGAAAATTGTCAAGTTAAGAATATAAATTTTAATTGTATACTAGTATTACTGTGGTTAATAAAGCATGAGAGGGGGAGTGGGTTGAACATCCTTTCATTTATTCTAACCTGTTAGTTTTATGGAAACTTAGTTATATATGATAATACATGGTTTTATGTTCTAAACCATACAGCCTTAGCTCATGACATATTTTAAGTAGTCATATTACAATTTATACTAACTGTACGTGACTGATCCATCCAACCAACAGCATTCATGAACTTTTTAACATAGCTATCATCTAAGGTAATGGAGCTCTGCAAACGTATATCAATATTTCTAATTTCTTGTGGCGCTATAATAATTCTACGGTTATTAAATATGTTTCTTCGAAACAAAATCTGAAATTCAATAAAATAAGAATGAACACGTTTAAATTATTTCCAATACTTTGTAATAAAAAATAAACATGTGCATACGCATGGAGCAGTGATACGACGGCAATACATGATTATTTGAAATTAATCTCGAAAGTTATCTCACTAAATTAGTTAATCAAAGTCAATAAACAAACATTTAAAAATGAACAGCTGATGCAAAATTGCTAAAGCACACCCAAAGAGTAAAGTGTAAAAAGCACCTGTTCTCTTTGAAAGCACTCCACAAAGAACAGACTCAAATAAGGACGTTATTCGCGATAGACAGTTATTCAATTAATGATTTACCTGAACGACGATTACTAGTGATTTAGTGATACAACAACTATCTATTTTCTACAACGCTTTAAAGTAAAGCTGAATTCACTCTCAAGTAAATCACTTAAAGTTTTTGTTTGGGCGACTCGCTTTACAATAACCGCGGTCACCAAGAAGCGACGATCACAGTTCGCATCGATACGTAGTCGTCTTTATGAGAATGACACTTTACATTGACGATCATGTAATGCAATTTTATAAACCGTATAGAATGTGACGCGTAATGTAAAGCGTAATGTAAATAATATGAATCGCAAACAATGTAACCTACTATGTGTGAATGAAAAAGGTATATGTTTGTACGTTCCGCGTTTCTCGGTTATCGGAGTGATCAAGCAACCAACCAAAAATTGAATTTTATCGCGTTTGTATAAGAGTAAAATTTGCTTTGACTTTGTAGCGTTGTAGAAAAAAGTAATTATTAAAAAATGAAAGTTTTGATATCGGTGAATAGCGAGTACGTTACGTAATTTAAAAAATGGATAACGCCTCATCGCTAGAGTAGACACACACACATCACTCATCTGCAGTGCTTTAAAAGGCGTACACACAGAAGGAATTCCGATAGACATAAAAGAAGAGGACCGGCCATACCTACGAAAAAAGCGTATATGCCTAAACTTCAAATGCAAATTCTTCGATGGCGGATTGTCATAGGGCGTGACCCAAGATATCGATATTTGTATCGACATTGAAGTCATATTAAATAAAACTTAGTATTTCGTGAAACTGCTACAATACTACTACTTATTAAATAATATAAAATAATTTTCATTGTTAGGGGCATGGCTAAACTATTACCTATTACACTTCTATTCATTTCACACTTACGTACCAATCCTATTTATGATTATTATTAATTAAATTGAAAAATTCACGCCAGTATCAAGAAAATAATATTTTTTTAAAAGTGGCGTGAATTTATCAATTATTTATAAATCATTAAGCAATCTTTTGCTCGTATTTTGTTGGACATCTAAAATTTCTTGCGTTCTTTGTTCTTGCGACTCCGTTGCGTCACTATAGTAAATATAACATATGTTACCAGCGTATGATGGCGCTTCCCACGGGTAAAAGATTATTCGTATTCCAAATTTCATCAAAATCCGTTTAGTAGTTTTTACATGAGAGTAACCAACATCCATCCTCACAAACTTTCACATTTATATTATTTAATAATATAATTTTATAATATGATTGTACCTCGATAAATATGTTTCTTTTTCCTCTAATATAGCCAATTTAACATAGTTTTAAGAACTATAGTACCAAAATATATATCTTAAAAGTTTTACAATAATATCAATCGTGTTTTATAATTATTTCCATATATATTGTCAAGTTGACATTTTGCAATTATAATTAAATAGTTTTTTTAACATAAGTTTAATTTTGCATCCACGGGAAGTGTGACTACTGTCCAAGATAACTACCACGGTAACTATAATAAGCTTTTAATGAGTCGATTGACGAATGAATTATTATGCTTTTTTTGTCTGTTATATATTTTTTCTTGTTTTGGTGGAAAGTGACATTTTGGTCCAATGAAGTCATTTTTTATTTTTCAGTACGAAATTAAACAGGGTGCAAAAGCAGCCCTTGCAGTTTCTTACCGGTTCCTTTCTTACAGTTTCTTCTTTTCTCGGTACAAGGTTTCCCGTAATAGATTGATGAACTATAAGCACAGAGTTTCGACTTTCTTACATGCTTGTAATTAGTAAGCCAACTTGTCTATAAATTTATTCAATAAATTGTTTTGACTGAATAAATTTCGCTTCCTCCTCATTAAGTGAGATACCGTGCGTACTGTGTCACAATTTTAGTTCAGAACATCTTGTTTAGTAGTAAACATAGAAAACTTGAAACACCTACATAATCTTTGTATTATATTATTGGTAAAAGAACATAAAAATACTGTAAACTTTGATGAATAAACAAGAGAAAATAAAGAAAACAAAGTTGGTGATAAATAAGTAACAATTGGCATAACAGTAACATTATTAAAGAAGTAACAATTGGCATTTTATTTAAAAATTTGGTTAGCAAGAAGAAAACAGCCGATTAATCAATAGGCAAGCATACAAATATTTTCTCAGCACTAAAACAGTCTGCAATTCATGTTCTGTGAACAATCATGATAACGGTCAGCAATTTAAATTCAAAAAGGTAGCGTATTTTATGATGCATCAGCAAAATAAACATCCACGCCGCAAAATAATTATTTGGGTATTAAGATTATACTATTGAACAGCAAAGAAAACCTTTAACTATGCCTTTAATTTGATAAATGTGCATATTTTAATTTTTATTAAAATTATTTAACTCATTTTATTGTATATTTTACTGGGAGTATATTATGATCAGAATTTTATATTTTAATATTATGAAATATTATGATATATTGCATTCTGATTTTTTTCAATTAAAATAGTCGTCATATGACCGCAAGACTAAAAATAAGGTGCATTTATAGAATAACAAAATGACTATATAAAAAACTAAATAAATAAATCAGTAAAATCAAATGAAAATTAAGTAAGTGTAATGAACATTTTTTTTTTAAATAAGTTAAAAGCAATTGTCAAAAATTCTTACCAGAGAATTTGATTGGCAATGGCATCATCTCGTAATTTTATTATATTTAAAGTTCGATTCAAACAACTTTCCCTAAAATGAAGTGAGCAGATAAAAGTAACTTTTTCATTACATTTAATATTTTCTGCTTCTATGTAACTCGGCCATTTTCCTCTTTTGTTTCATCTTTTGGTAATCTAAAATAATTAATATATTTTTAAATATTAAAATTATCGATATAAACCATATGTTAAAGTAACGACACTAGCCATGTAAACAATATTATTTACGGACCGAAATATTATAAAAATATAAACGAAAAGAGCAATATAGCATAAATAGAACACGCCAAAATACGATATGTATCGATTTATACACGCAATCATTTTCAGAATAACTTACTTACGTTTTAAATACTGTTATTCCAAGAAAGTGTTTAACTTACCGGTGAAACGTAATATTGCTCGGTTTGCGGGATATTGATAACGCACAACCAATTATACAGCACCTAGGCATTGTTTTGCATAAATAATTTACAATTTTCTGCCATGAAAGTTATATAAATTAAAGTTATAAATGAAAATAACCACAAAACTTATAACACTGACAGCTGAACTACTTCCGAGAATACGCGAAGCAAATTTGCAAATGGCTGACAGGTGGTACGATAGCTATATCTCATGACGTCACGTAAAAAATTTTGAACTGTCACACTAGTGTTATCTTTGTTTACTAAAGAAACTTCTTATTAGTTAAAAAAAGACAACATGATGTTTTTGATGTCAACTTCAGATTGCATGATATTTATATAACCATAGAAAATATTTCCACTCTACCTTACTCTAATAGCTGGCCAACGATGTGGTCGGCTGTCGGATTGGACCACTGCTGGATTTTTAACCCAGCATAGATTTTTAGTTTTTTTTTCGAAGTAAAATTGTACGCTGATAATCCTAAGAACAGCTGTTGTGTTGTATTCATCGACTTCATGTGCCAAGCTAGTTTAAAGAATAACAGAACTTAAATAAATCAAAAGTTAAATAAACGCCTACAATAAATATGCGCCCGAGAGTAATATATTTATTAAAAAACAAAGAAATAGTTAATAACTTTTAACCATAAAAGAACACCAATTTTGTGATTAACGGTGTTTCAAAAACTATTATCAAGATAGCTTCTCTAATAATACAGTTAAAATATAAAACAAATGAGGAAGTATTTTAAAAAAATAGTTCCCGAGTAGCTCTGTGGCGTGGCGTGGATATACGCCGCGGCTCGCGATCGTTGTCGTTAAGCAACTTTCGCAAGGGTCGGTCACGGGATGGGTAACCAAAAAATTATTATCTCGAGCTACTCCGTTTTTTGGAAGGCACGTTAAGCCGTTGGTCCCGGCTGAATTTGTAGTCGTTAATACTCGCCAATCCACATTGGGCCAGTGTGGAGGGTCATGATGGACGAAATAAAGGACTGATGATGATAATGATGATAATGATGATGAGTTCCCGAAATCAAACTAGATGTCGCAACGGTACTTCTTGACTTCTCCACGACAACCTTTCCGGTTTTCCTTCATGTATAAATGTAAATTAATTTTCAAAACTCAATAATCAACTCATATTCTATTTGCTCTTTTTCGTATTTGTATTGATATCTAAGTTTTGAACTTTAAAAATTTCAGTTTTTTAATATCTTAGTTAAAAAGATACGGAAGTGACTATCTTTGGTCCATGTTTTTCCTGTAAAAATCAACTTTTGGTAGAGTCGCCATCTGGTGAGGTGCTTTTTAGTGAACTATTGTTCACATTAGTCTATAAAAGAAAGAACGACAGAAATGCTTTTGCATCCTTCGCAGACACGTTGGTTGTCCTGGTGGCGGTGGTAGATCGATTGTTAGAACAATGGGATGCATTAAAATTGATCTTTACTGACTGCTGGCTGAATGAACGTCTTCTTTCAACCGAACTGATATTTAATAGCATGAATGATCATCCACCTTTATTACTTGTTTTTGTCTTGGATATTACCGAAATTTATAAATACGAAACGGCAACATCTAGGGAGATGAGATTAAGTAGTAGAAGAAAAGACATACAAATTTCGCTTCACCCAAAATTAAATATTGTAAAACATTGTAGTCGATATCAGGCGGACAAACTTTTTAACGCCCTGCCGACGGAGTTAAAAGCTATCGAAAGTCCTAATAAATTTAAAACTAAATTGAGGCAACTTCTGTTAGACGGTTCTTTCTATACGCTGGAGGAGTTCTATAGTGGTCAGTGCATCTTACCCAACGGATAATTAATAAAAACTACCATAATGTTTAAGTGTCTGCATGATTTTTATGTAATTTTATTTTGATTTGTTCTTGTACCATTCAAATACAATTGTAAAAAAATGTTAATGCTGTAATGCTGTATGAATTATAATAATAATAATAATTTACCAACTTCAATAAATTTTTTTAATCCGAAAAAGTAGTGATCACATCGTTAAACGAAAAGGTGCGCGAAATGTATAAAGATATTTTGCTTTGTATTTTGGATCATGATTATGTCAACAAAACAGAGCTTTCTGCTATTGACTTTGAACGACAAGAAAAATGGTTAAAAGATGAACAAATTTATTTGGGAATTCAAGTGATGAACAAAATTACGCAGCTAGAATTTCGTTGCTAAAGTTTTTTCAACGCTGTCGGCATTTTTTAATCACAAGTGCAAAAGATATGATTTAGATGACCCCATTCTATCAGAACTGGACTGTCTTGAACCTACCAATGCTGCTTCCAGTAATTACAGGAAAAAAGTTCCAAGAATAGTAAAACCCGAAGACATGCAAATGATGCAGGCGATAGATGACGAATGGCGCTGTTTTCCCAACATTTAAGATAAAATTGATGTATTAACTACGAATACCGATGAGTTTTGGAGCATCATTAAAAACAATTTGAAAATTATAAAACAATGGCTCATTGTGCTTTAAATGTGTTATGTTTACCCCATTCCAGTGCAGACTGTGAAAAAGCATTCAGTGAGGTAAATTTAATCAAAACAAAACTTAGAAATAATTTATCTAATGAACTACTGAAAGGAACGTTATTAGCCAAGCAATTAATACGAAGAAACGGAAATTGTACCAAGGAACGTACAACAGAAATGTTAGAAAATATTTATATGACCTCAGAAAATTTGTATATGTGTAATGAATAGTTTTATTGCATTATTTTTCTAATTATTGTCATTTTTAATAAAAATTTGGAACTTCTATATTGTACGATCTTTTTATTTTAAAATTTCCTTAGAATACGATTTTTTTGTAGTTGACGTACGATCATGCCTTTTTTCATCTGGCAGACCTGGCCGTCTATGAGAAATTAACATTTGGGTGTAAACTCTATCTCATGAAAGAAATCCCACGACATAACTTTTATTCTTTCGTGAGACGACCTCTAGACTTAACTTTAATAATTTAACACGCTAATCATACTTAGCGTTATTGTAGTCGTTTTGGACAACTCTAGTGGCAACTTAATACTCAACAACTACATATTTTCTCTATGGGTAGCTCTTTCTTTCGTTCCTCACATTTCCTTCCTGTCTTGTCGATGTCGACTAGTCTATGGTAATTTTAAGGTTATTGGATCTTGGATATTACATAATTTTGGGCGGCCGCAAAGATATTTATCGCCCAAGTGCTGCGAAGAATCAAAAATGTTCGGGGCAGTAAGTAAAGTTGGTAGTGGCTTCTTAGCTGCAAAAACAGTTGCCGAAAAAGCCCTGACAGAATGTGGAAAAATTGCTGCTGTTTCTGCCACCTCCCAAAGGGATTACGCAGCGAAGGCTTCAGGAAAAGGGCAAGGTAAGGTGGTCGCTGTTATCGGTGCCGTCGTAGACGTCCAATTTGAAGATGCTCTTCCGCCTATTCTTAATGCCTTGGAAGTCCAAAATCGATCACCTCGTTTAGTATTAGAAGTAGCGCAGCACTTGGGAGAGAATACTGTCCGCACCATTGCTATGGATGGTACCGAGGGTTTGGTCCGCGGCCAGCCTGTGCATGACTCGGGATCGCCCATCCGTATCCCCGTAGGCGCGGAGACCCTCGGTCGTATCATCAATGTCATTGGCGAACCTATCGATGAACGTGGACCTATTCCAACAGACAAAACCGCGGCTATCCATGCCGAGGCCCCAGAGTTTGTGGAAATGTCTGTACAACAGGAAATCTTGGTTACTGGTATCAAAGTTGTAGACCTGTTGGCTCCATATGCCAAAGGAGGTAAAATTGGTCTTTTCGGCGGTGCTGGTGTAGGCAAGACTGTATTGATCATGGAACTTATCAATAATGTTGCAAAGGCTCATGGTGGTTACTCTGTATTTGCTGGAGTAGGTGAGCGTACCCGTGAAGGCAATGATTTATATCATGAAATGATTGAGTCTGGTGTAATTTCCCTGAAGGACAAGACATCCAAAGTAGCTCTTGTATATGGGCAAATGAATGAGCCCCCAGGTGCCCGCGCCCGTGTAGCTCTTACTGGATTGACTGTAGCAGAATATTTCCGTGACCAAGAAGGCCAAGATGTGTTGCTTTTTATTGATAATATCTTCAGATTCACCCAGGCTGGTTCTGAGGTGTCTGCTCTGTTGGGTCGTATTCCTTCTGCTGTGGGATATCAACCAACTTTAGCCACTGACATGGGTACTATGCAGGAACGTATTACCACCACCAAAAAGGGTTCTATCACTTCTGTACAGGCCATCTATGTACCCGCTGATGACTTAACTGATCCTGCTCCTGCTACAACCTTTGCCCACTTGGATGCCACTACTGTGTTATCCCGTGCTATTGCTGAGCTCGGTATTTACCCAGCTGTAGATCCACTGGATTCTACTTCTCGTATTATGGATCCTAACATTATTGGAGCCGAGCACTACAATGTTGCACGTGGTGTCCAGAAGATTTTGCAAGACTATAAATCGCTGCAGGATATTATTGCTATTTTGGGTATGGATGAGTTGTCTGAAGAAGACAAACTAACTGTGGCCCGTGCACGCAAAATTCAGAGGTTCTTGTCCCAGCCTTTCCAAGTAGCTGAAGTATTCACAGGGCATGCTGGAAAATTGGTACCACTCGAAGAGACCATTAAGGGCTTTTCTAAGATTCTACAGGGCGAGTATGACCATTTACCTGAGGTTGCATTCTACATGGTTGGACCTATTGAAGAAGTTATTGCAAAGGCTGAAACTCTCGCCAAGAATGCTTAATTCTGGTTAATATGAAAGGATGAGAAATAATTGTATCTCTTAATAAATATAGTTATAATCAATTTTGTTTTTGTTTCACAATTTCCTGTTTTAGTTATAAAAAAACAAGTTATCCAATGGGTTAGTGTTACCTTTTACTATAGATTATTTATATAAAAAAGTATTTAAAAAATTTTTGGATTATGTAACAAGTTTTTTCTGACGAGTACTCGAATGCGGCTCACTTCAGTTTCAGTGAAAGTGTCAACCGCTTTATTAGTTTTTGCTTACGCATCAGTATAAGTTATTTATTTCAAGATTTGTAGAATCGATAAGGGGCACTGCTGGGCTAATATCAGAGCACCAGCTATGCCATAGCAAGAAATGCTTATAGAAAACTTCAAAGTAAATAATTTATTTATCAATCTGGAACAGCTTTGATAAATTACTAAAGTAATTTCTTTTTTTATAAAAGATTGATTCCTGCGATGCCAGGCTAACAGTGTTAGAAATACATATATGTATCATCTAATATAAACTCTAAATGCTGATATTTTTCTATCAACATTAACGAGTTCGTAACTTCTGTTTTACGAACTCGTTAATGTTGATAGAAAAATATTTTTGGATATTCTACGATGTTTTGAAGTCTTTTGGACTCCAGTAAATTATCTGATGTTTCAGTGATACAAGATATTTAACGCTTCGTCTACTTGAATCGATTATTCTAACCTCATATTTGTTGATAAAATACGAGGTTAAACGAGATAAAACTAAAATTAGATTAGTCTTTCGTAGTGCCTGATTGGAAAAAGCTGTCACTCTATACCGTCGGAGGTTACATTATATCGGTAGCAGAATTCGGTAGGCGTTAAATAGCAGTGGCTCGTGCGGCAGCCGGTTTCAAGGTGTCTATCAGACGGATTTTTTATTTATATTTTTTCGGGACCTGGTATTAAGGATTCCTATATGTGTAAACTTTCGCCAGGGATCAGATGGGATATTATAGAGTTCTTCAAAGTTTCTATTGTTCCCTGCTACATACACACTAGTCTCCCCACGCTCACTTATCCGCGTAGTGCCCTTTCTCATATGACCCATATTAAGAAAGGCGTGTCCCCAAGCAGCGAGGACATTAATATATACAGACAGGCAGGGTAACTTTCAACAGATTGATGCTTCTGTTGGTGGAATTTGCTCCTTGCTGCAGTGTGGATAAATTAATCACCTTTATTAAAAAAAAAGCGGTTTAATTCATTATATTTTTATTAGTCTACCTAAGTAACCTAGTAATATAGGTAAATAATTAAGCAGCAGCTTTTTTTCTTACATTACATGTAAAGAAAACGGAACATTTTTAATTAGTTTATATTTTTATGTTCACTTATTGGTTCATCGATAATAAGTCATGAGTCTTTGCAAAAACAGTCGGTTTTGGTATAATTATAAATAGCTTTATTTATTAGCTAAGTATTAAAAATGTAGTACAATATTTGAGACAAAATTTTAAGGATTTCCGCCCCATTGCTTTAATCTTAATCGACGTAACAGTCTATAAACAAATTATAATTCTCACGTATTTTCTAAAATAAAGACAAAAATTCTCAAAACGATATATATCGATAAAACCTTGGGGCTGTACCACTTTTTACGTTTTTGATAACATAGCTGGTGATTCTCAGAAACTTGAACTTTCGGTTTGATATATCCGTCATAAATTATTTAACACTTCACGAAGAGTACATTAGCGGACTTAATGTAGGAAAAATAATGAAATCAATTAGATATATATTTTTTAAATCGACGACTTTAGTCTCCTACGATATCAGATATATATAGATTTTAAATTCAAAATATACTAGTCAAGATTCATTATTTTTGATGATATTGATGTATGAAACTGGAAGTTAACTTTCCGGAAATCACCTTTTAATTGGAAAAGCAGTCACCGCAGCTGATAGCGGCTGGTTATAGAGATGCTATTTGAATTCTTTAGTATTTTTCTATATATTAACAAATAATATACATGTATAATACTTTACTACATATGGTAGGCATTATAAATATTACATTTTGTTCATGACACATATTAAAATGCGACTAGGTTTTGCAAGGAAAAATGAATGACACTGATGACCGTTGGCAGCTTTTCTCTTAACATAAAACACAATCTACGTATCATCGTCTACTAATTATGTCACTGACACCAAACGAGTATGTAGACTTTAAACACAGTGGCTGGTGTGAACTGTGGAGAGAACTTTCATTACATATTTTTCTTTCATTTTAATCTAAGGCTTAAAGGGACAGATGAACAGATTCACTCGGCTTGACTTTCACAATATTTGTTTGCTTTGCCATAAGCTTACATACCTAATTAAACTGAATTTAACAGTTTAGGATGTTAAAATGTGGTATATCTTGGCACGTTATGTTGTAGCTTCTATCAATTCATTGTCTAGTATTTGTTCATTCTCACTTATCAAACTATCTTCAGTTACAAGTTTACTAACATTGGCATCACTATTATTTACATTATTATCGGTATTATTTACTAAAATGTCTTCATTGACGAGATTGTTAACCATGTCTTCTTTACCGATATTATTGTTTATTTGTGGATTTGAGAATTGACTTGGTGTTTCGTTGTTATTGACAGTATCAACTACCGCATTAAGTTTTGCGCAGCTTGCATTTTTATCAGACTTTTGGAGTGAAATCGCACAGTCAACATTAGGAACTTTTACTACTACTACTTGGTCAGATATTTTTTCTTCACTTGAAGTTAATGTTTTAGAAGGGTCTTTTAATTTTATAGTTTGAAATTTTAAAGGTGTATTTGAAACCGGAGTTCCGTCTTTATTCCTGTTAATTGGTTTAATAACTAATATTTTTGTTTTCATACCGGCCTTTTTAAAATCAGTTATATTTTTGTTTATAAGGGGATTTTTAATTACTTCTAAGCTTTGACGCCGTAATTTAATGGGCACGACTGATGGGATGTTCATATTAGGTTTTATTGCATTGCTTGTTTCAGTTATTTCTTCAGTTGGTGGTGTGCTTTTAGATGTTTCTGGGACAGTTTTCAGATCTTTTTCGGAGATCGTAGTATCTTCAGGAATAGTTTTATTGGGTTTAATTTCTTTTTGAGGGCTTTTGTTATCTTCAGTTATTTCTTTTTTAGGCGAAATTTTATCTCCTCTGGATAAACTTTTAGGCAACATAGGTCTTACAAATATGTTAGAGGGTTTTGGTTCTTTTTGCACGTTCATTGAAATAAAACTACTATTTTTAATGAGTGCCGTGAATCTTTCAACTGCCCTTTTAGAAAGTGTGGCCAAGGCCCCCCCACAATCGCGATTTACAATTTCATAATAATTTGAATTGTCCATGTTTGGTTTTTTCTTATTTTGACTGGATTTTGTAGTAACGGATTGGGAATCTCGGTATCCTTGAGCTTCCATTTTGAGTAAATTCGATAAATCATATTCAAAATCTTCATTTTTAGGTTTCGTCTTTTTGCGAACGGGTCGACGTGACGCTACTGACGAATTGCTCTCAATAAAATGTTTCTTTGATATCTTATCTTCAATTTCATCCATATCCGAAGAGTTTTCTTCAAATGTTTTCATAATCGGGGAAGAACCATTTTCTATTGCACAATTTACTTCTTTATCTATGTCACCCGATTTCGATCCTTCATCATCATCTAAAAGAAAAAAAATGTGTGTTAAATAAATAAACTGTTTATTTTTGTCAATGTAAAATTAAAAGATATGCCAAAAGTATACATATCTCAATCATAAAACAAGAGATAGAATAAGTTATTTAGCAAATCACGACTTACCAATAGTCAACATATCTCTTTTCCTCTTAGCCGATCCTTTTATTTGACAAATTTTTCTCTTGCGTGTTCCTGACTCGGCGCGTGTACCACTAGAAGAACTGTCATCTGATAGTCGACTTGAATCACTGGAACAGCGACTTTGCCGGCGAGACTCGGGACTATTGGCATCAGTATTTTCATCTAAGCTTTCTGCTAACTCCAATGCTTCATTACCGTCAATGGCTTTCACAGTGCTAAAGTAGAAATCATTATCACCTTTTAGTTTATGAACTACTTTGACGTGCTCCGGAAGTTTCTCAAGGTCATAGTGTTTGAAGTTGCATAATTTACATGCATAACGCATCCATTTATAATGACTAGCCATATGGATGTATAATTCTTGGACATTTTCATGTTGAATAATACACTTTCTGCACAAAAGTTTATTTATATCTATGTCTGGTTGGATTTTTTGTCTAAAAGCAGTCAAATTTGATTTTTCAATGTGCTGTACAAATGGCAACTTAAACATTGGTTTGGATATGTCTAATGCAACTGGGGTTTTAATTTCGGAAGTCTTATCTTTTTCTTCAATAATCTTTTCAGGGGAATCCGCAGGTTTTTGCAAAGTTTCAGATGTATCCATCAGAGATTCTTCAGAAACATGATTTTCTACAGGCTTTTCCATTTCTTTCGTGTCTTCTTTACCCGTTTTAAGACCACTTGGATTTTCGTCATTTGGAAGCTTATTTTCTGTAAATAGATATTTATGATTAGTATCATGTCGTAGCTCGGTGGCGTAGTGGATAAGCATCGCGATTGGCAATCTTTAATCAAGTTGTTGTTAAGCAACTTCGCAACTTTCGTAACGGTTGGTTACGGGATGGGTAACTCAAAATAATCATATCTAGCTACTCCATGTTTTGGAAGGCACGTTAAACCGATGGTCCTGGCTGCATTTGCGATCGCCCATCAAACCCGCAAGGACCAACCTCCTTTAATGTCCATAAGTAAGACCTGAGCCCTTGCAGTGGGGACATAAAAAGACTGATGATGAAACATGTCATTAAGCAGGAAACAGAACAAAAATATTTTGAACATAAATGCTATTCTTTTAAAATACTAAAAATAATAAATCGCTATCATACAATTAGGCTTTATTTATTTAATCCTTCATAATTCAATCAAACCTCTAGAGCTGTGACATGTGAAGTCTGCAGTAACGACATCACCCGTGAATTCATCAGAGTCAGTCAATATAGAGCAACTTCAAAAGCATTGATCCAGTGGAAGTTTTTGTGGTGGTGTGATAAATAATATTGGCATTAAAAGTTGTCAGACCAGAACTCCCCGTTCAAGCAGTATTATCACACATATAATTTGTCTGAGCAACTATGCTCTTCTTTGCCTCAATCTAGTGGCTAATGCTATAAAAATGAAGTATGTTACATTTGATTGCTCTTGCCAACTACCTACCATTAGGATCAGCTGCTTTGATGGACATATTCAAGTTGGCAGCCGGGCCCTTATTGTAATCTTTCCGTATCTGTATCTCTATCTTCTTAGTTTCTTGTGGTCTGCGCGCCAATGCTCGAGATCTTGTCTGGCACGTGTGCGTGTGCGCCGCCAGAGCCGCCCGCCGCTCAAATGTACGCCCGCAACCAAAACAACGGGGTATATCGCTATCCCCTTCAACATTGTCTACCCAAGCCTGAAAAACATCTTATTATTCGTTTTTTTACATTTTCACATCAGTGCCATAGTTATTGATATATTTAAAAATGCTTAATTTTTTATTTTTTCTTAAAATTTAATACGGGTCGCAACGCTTATGGTTAGTTAATCAGTTTGACTCCAATTAGTTTACCTGTGGCATTATCTAACTAGCGACAGAATGCATTTTTGTGGCGAGTGAGTAGAACTTTTTATTGTTTTATATAAAAGGTTAGGCGATTTATGAGCGATGATTTTTTTATTGAATCTTATTTAATGCATGCTGCATTAACATTTCAATTGTAAGTAATTTAGTGTATTTTTTATGGTACGAATATGTTCATTTATTATGATTTCCACTCTATGATACCTAATACACTAATTGTTAATTATTACTGTTACTAATTGTGGAAATCTTTAATTAGTCATCTGTAACTTAATTTGACGTCTACATATTAAAATAATGTGCTGTTGGTATTCCGGAATATTTATAAATAAATAATAGAGTTTATTATAGTAAGTAGGTAATAAGTCAGGTATTCCCCTACATGTTACTGGAAATCCTCAGATGCATATTATTTATAATTATTTAATAATAAATATTAAATAAATCAAACTTAATCTTTATTTTACACTTTTCATTTTAAAAATCAAATATTATTAAATAAAAAAGGAATATTATTAAATGAAAAAAAGCTTACAAATTGCAGCCTTTCATATGCATGATATAACTTCAATATATATCAGAGAAATATTAAATATCGGATTTTTGCAAACCTTGGTTCCACACTTTAGGTACAGGCACCTTTGGCTATCAAAAACTGTAAAGTTTAATTGATTTCTATTGACATTAAAGTTCAAAATTAATTGCAAGTTTACTAAATAATAATCAATTGATTTGCTTTATGAGAACCAAATCAGGTGTTATTGGTGAAATAATTTTAATTAAATATTAACCTGATTCTCTTGATCCAATCTTTCCTCTTCACTTAGTTTTTGTGTCACTGGTGGTTTAATATTTTTACGTTTCTCATAGAATGCTGGTGGATTATTCATTTTGAATGCTTTTGCCTGGATCGATTCCCTTAGTCGCCTTATTTGAGCTGCCGTTTTGCTATAAAACAAGTTATAATATTTTTTTTATTGATAGATATTTAATCATAAAATAAAATTCTAACATGCCTCATAAATACTCATCATACCGATGCACTTTAAAAAGATGACGATAAACACTCCATGATGTTGAAAAAATTTCTAGACAATCTGGACATGAGAAGACTAAGCGGCTTTCCAGATGTTTGTATTTCATATGAAATTTTAGTGTTTTTAGAGTAGAAAAGTTTTGGTCACCTGAAATTATATGAAAAGTACTTAAATTAGAAAGCATGTACACACAGCTGCATGTCAGGCTACCACAATATGTTTATTATTTTGACTGATTTTGAACTCTATCTTTAATGCATTATGGTTTAAATTCAAGTGTAGAAATTTGAGTTATGAATATCCTGACACCCTGTTGACTATACAAAAGTACAAAGTAATGTGTACTAAAAGGTGTAAGCATACAGATTTATAGCACCAACTTTAGTAGATTTTGTTTGCGGTTATATGTATAATGTAACATATAGAACACCTACATATTTTGCATTTAAGGTTGTTAATGCCATCATTATCATCATCATCACTAATTTGTATGACATTATCTGTGTCACTTAACAAACTGCTTTGAATCTTGAATTTCCCATCATTTTGAAGTACAGCCTGGTCTTGAGACAAAATACTGTGAAGTTCTTTTATCTGTAATTTGATATAGTATTTTAATTGTTATATAATTAAACATTGTTTCATCACCTAGATTTTGACGATAAAATCTGCCATAAGCAATCTAAAATTAAAATCATATTATTATGGTGTACTTTGAATATTAATTATATTTATTTGATTATATTTAAATTTTCTCTGTAATTATTAAATTAAAAATCAGTAACATACTCACTTGAGTCCTCATTTTATCTTCTTTTTCATTAGCATTATCAATATTCTGAAATACAGCTACGGAGCTGTTTGGCACCTTTTGTAAAACTAACTGTGGCTCGTCAGTTATATTCTCATTTACCCCTTTACTTTTAACTATATTTTCAATTATAGCTGATATATCTTTTGTTAATGGTATTCGGTTGTCAGCATCATTGATATCAACTATTTCTATTTTTTCTTTTTCTTTCAATGTTTTAAAATAACTTTCCTCCAATCTTTTAATTTTCATCATTTCATTGGCCTTAAATTTTAAAGATACACATACATAAACATATTTTTTTATTTTAATTTAAATTAAACACTATAAGTAAATTGAAGACTTACAGTTGAATTCATTTTAAAAAACTGGCCATGTAAGGTTGAATTAAAATGTTCCATGCAATATATACGTTTATGGGATATAAAATTTGCTAAACTTCTGAAAATATTACGGCAAACTTTACATTCATATAATATGTCACATTCATTTGATATTAATCCTTTGAGCTGAAAAAAAATAAAGATTGATAAGTTGTGATTCACTATATGAGATTATGTAACATTCATTCAAGATTACAAACTTACTTCTTCCGTAGCTAAGTCAAAGATTTTTCTTGCTTGAGCAAAACTAGTAATACTAGTGAATATAGGTTTTCTAAGGAGAGAAAAATCCAAATCCTCATTATCTTCATTAGCCTGAACTATTCCTTTGTTTGTTTTAGTTTTATCATCTTTTCCTTTGGTTTTAGTGTTAATTTTGTTTCCAGCCATGGTGATTTTCGAAACTGATGAAAAAATATATATGATGAAGAGGTAGTCCCAAATGACCTGTCTGTTACAGTTCTAGGGTGCCTAATGAAGTAAGGCTAAAGAACAACAGTTGCGATAACATTTTTGTTTGATTTAAAAGCTAAGGAAATGAAATTTAAACCACATGGAAGTTATCAAGGTAACATTAATATAATTTTGAATCCAGCATGGTAAAATCGTATAAATACCTATCACTAGGTTCGCAGTCTCTCCCTCAATTTTTACCGAAATTTAAGGGGTGCGGGTTATGGAAAGGACGTAAATATTCTTCTTAGTATATTTATAAAACGATAAGACTCTTTAGTAACTTTCACTTACTTTGATATTATCACAATCAGCAACATCAAAATCCTGGTTTTCCAACAATCGCACTGCCATCACGCCTCCATTTTCAACAAATGAGTATCGCCCGCAAACAAAACGCAGTGTTGCTCTAGGACTCAATATTGACACTTTAAAGTCAAGGCCCATTCATTGTAGGACAGTATAGATAGAGGCAAGTTGAAAAATGTTCAACTTGTCTCTGTTCGACTTGAATGTTTCCGGATATTTTATTGTTATTCCATGTCAAAAATATTCAGTTAGATTAAATGGTTACTTCTATTAGGAAGGATATATAAGGCTAAGAATGTTATAGATTTTTCTAACAATGAATAAAATATTATGTAATGTTGCCATGTATAATACATGAATACCTACAGATTGTTGGAATATTTCCAGATTGTATCTATAAAATAAATGCAAGAGCTACAATGAAGAAGTATTTAAAAAACGAAATTAGTTCCCAAAATCAAACTAGATGTCGCTACGGTACTTTCTTGATTTCTCCATATAATAATAATAATAATAATAATAATAATAATTTATTTAATTCTTTCCATTACAAAATTTAAATAATCTTAGGTCCCACAAAACTATATTAACAGTTTGACTGTGGTTGGGCTATGACAACCTTTTAGGTATTATTTCATGTATAAAAGTAAATTAGTTTTCAAAACTCCATAAAAACTCATATTCCGTTTGTACTTTATCGTATTTGTATTGATATCTAAGTTTCAAACTTTGCAAATTTCAGTATTTTAATATGTTATTATGAAAGGAACGGAAATGATTTCTCTTTGGTCCATTCGTTTCCTGCAAAAATCAACTTTTGCTAGAGTCGCCATCTAGTGGAAGTGCTTTTTCAGTGCTTTCTTTTTTTAAATACTTCCTCATTACAAACAATATATATATTGTCACATCAAAATGAGAAATTAGATTCTATAATAATAATAATAATAATAATAATAATATTTATTTGATCATAAATTATCGGAGTTACATACAAAGCTTATTAAAAATATATTTATATAGTTGTTATTTAGAATACACCTTGCTTATAGGTAGCATCCATCACCGAACTAGGTTGTAGACCTGAAACATCGGTAAATGGCGCCTCCAACCTCGGACATTAATCAATGTATTACATTACATCTTTGTTATGTTTTATTTAAATATAGCATTTGAGCAACAATAAACTTCTGTGTAACAAACCAATCATTTAAAGCAATATTGAAAATAAAACAAACTAAAATATAGAAAAGGAAAGAAGTCCTCTCTGTGTGTAATGTGAGAAATGCATGTATGAGGGTCGAGAGGGTGTATTTGTAAGTTATATTAAAATTGGTAACATATTAAATTGTGTAGATAAATAAATAAATTAATTAATTAAAATAAGATAAATTTATTTAATGTGGGTTGAGGAGAATGAGGACATTCGCAATGAAAACTAGACTCAGAAATCTGAAACAAAATCCAAGATTATATACTATGACATATCACCCAACAGTTTTAATTACTAATTCAGTATCCTCGTATGTTTGTTCCAACAACCAATTTGAAACTTTAATTTTACAATCAAACCTATTAAGGCTATAAATGTTAAGTATTTTGTTAATTTTGTTATAAATGTACGGACCCAAAAAAAGATAAAATCTTTTCAAAAACTCAGTCTTAGGACTGATAACCCGATCGCAAACATTATAGTGCCTTCTTCGTTTGACTTTTTGAGGGCAATATTCGAGAGAGCGATTCTATACAAACAATATATTTTTAAATGTAACACAATCTTAAGTATTGATCTTCGTTTTACTGCAACTTTTTGCCAGAATGCCAGACAAAACGCAGCAAGACATATTTAAGACAAAACTTCTTGCATCTGAGACGATAGACATCTGTGGCAACGGTATGGATTCATCCTAGCTCTATAGTCTTTTGTCTATGATTGCTATCCGATAGGGATGCATTTGAAATCGATTTTTTTATATTTAATGATATTGTATTTTCCTAATTATAGATGTTCATAAGAAGATGATTTCATTGTTCAATGAATCCATTAATAAATATCGTTAAACTAAATAAATAATCGATTTTTATAATAAACGATTATTTTTTCAATCCCTACTATCTGACGTGGTGAAGTATCGGTCAGTCGGTGACGTCTGAACATTTTTAGCAAGAAATACTGGGGAAGTAAGAAGAAGAAGATAGCATATTTTATTAGTAAAACAGACAACTAAAAACAAAAATGCTGGATAGCTTATTCGACGATGTGAAGCGCATGAATAAGCGGCAGGTATAGTTGGCTTACTCGTATTGCTTTTATTACAATAGTACCGGTTGTTTTTTACTTAACTATTATCCAATTTTCAGTTTATTTATCAAGTCCTAAGTTTTGGTATGATAGTATCTTCTGCTTTGATGATATGGAAAGGTCTGATGGTGGTAACTGGCAGTGAAAGTCCCATCGTAGTGGTCTTATCTGGTAGCATGGAACCTGCATTTCATAGAGGTGATCTATTATTTTTAACAAATTATCCAGAAGAACCGGTCCGCGTTGGAGAGATTGTTGTGTTTAAAGTTGAGGGAAGAGATATTCCAATTGTACACAGAGTATTGAAACTTCATGAAAAGTGAGTATTTATACACAATTTTATAAAAGATGGTTTTATTTTATTAGATTTTGCTCATGTTTAGTGTTAAAATAGAATTATAAAATTATGATTTTATAATGTTCATATTAATTATAGTAAATTCATAAAAAGTGAAGCAAATATGTATAAAATATGTATAATACAAATGGAAATTATCATTTTTACTTTTTATTACTGTAGAAACTATTTTCTGTTTTTAAAATGGTGCTATTGGTATTACAGGAATAATGGTACAGTTAAATTCTTAACCAAAGGGGACAATAATAGTGTTGATGATCGAGGTTTATATGCACAGGGTCAGTTATGGCTCACAAAAAAGGATGTTGTAGGACGAGCTAGAGGATTTTTACCATATGTTGGAATGGTCACTATTTACATGAATGAATATCCTAAGTTTAAGGTATGAAATTGTTGAATATAAATATTTTCTCAGTAGTTTTTTCTAAAAGATAAATAGTGGGTATACAGAGTGAAAATATTGATAGTTAAATAGTGGATTGTCATATTTAAATAATCCTTAGAATTTATTTGATTTCAGTAGAGGATAGTGACCATTTAAAGTTAAAAATAAAATATTAATTATAAATGTTTACTAAAATATTCTTTGTAAAATTACTTTTTTCTTTTCAGTTTGCTGTTTTAGCCTGTTTGGCAATATATGTGTTGGTTCATCGAGAGTGATGTTTGTTTGATCTGATTTCTTGACGTCACTAAGCTTTTAAGACATTGAGAGAGAGTATCATCGGCTCTGTGGATGTAATTTTATGAATAAAAGGTGTTTCTTCTAGTAATTTTTTGTGCTTTATTTTTACAATTCTAAAATTTTATCTAATTTGTCATAACCAAAATCATAATTTGTGCTGTTGTGAAAATGATACTGGTTACTTTTCTATGAAGTAAGGTAATCTCACATATTTTATTAAATATACAACTAATAAAAACTGCCTAAGCAGTTTAGCAACATAGCCCTAGGGTAAATGATCTGCTGCTATTTGTTATGTTTTATGCTTATGGTGTAATACTTTATGTATTTTGGGTTGAGTTTAGATTTTAGTAAAATAAAGTAAGAGTGAAACATGTTATAAATGAATAAATACATTTTTATTGATGAAATAAGAGTACTAGTGCATTCTATTGACAGGAATGTCAAAGGAATGTGCTGTTTATTTATTTATTAGAGGCATTCTCTGCCAGTCAACCATAGAGTGTTTTCAAAACTTTAGTAGGGTAGTCTAAAAAAAACAAAAACAAACTATGTTATATGTTAAGTAGCTAGGGTAGTCATATTCTCTTAAAAATCTCTGCGGTGGTGTAGTGTGCGTCGGGTCGTTACATTTTCTAAAATATAGTTGGCTCTTGCGTCATGTTCGATTACGGGCGCGGGATGAGTGTGCTCTTTTATTATGAATACTGTATACTGATTTGTCATTGAATATGTATGATTCGGCAACCTGCATACTTAATCGAAAAATATCAGTTCTTTTATTTCTGATATTGTAATGAAAAGTAATTTCATTCAATTTACATTATCGTCTGACTGATTAAATATAACTTTGTAATAGTTATGTTTATAACATATTTAAAAATCAGACTTGAAAATAAGTAAAGTCAATTTATTGTTTACGAAGCTTAAAAGCGTCTGACAAAGGTTCTGACAAAAGACGCTTTCCATGTCTGATACTTTTAATTTTACTTCAGAATAACATTCTACATAATATATTTAAAAATCAGACATTTAAAAATAAGTATAGTAACGCTGATTTTAGAACTTAGAATCGAAAGTTCTATGCTTTTAAAAATAAGTTATGTATGTCAGATCGCTCTGGGATCTTACTCTATTACGTTCTCAGTATAAATAGACGTTAACTTCCCAAAAAACATTAAATTAGTACTAGCGTCATCTGTTGGCAGCCCAAACAGCCCAAAACCGCCCAAACCGTTAGAAACGTAGTGTTTCGTTCGGTGATGATATTTTTCAGCGTTAATAGATAGTGTTAGTGTTTTAAATTTGTATGTCTAATTTTTTAGCGAAAGTTTTTTGTGACTTTTGGCCTATGAATAGTAATACAAGAAACCCAAGTAACATTGTAATGAGGAAGTATTAAAAAAACGTTAGTTCCCGAAATCAAACTAGATGTCGCCTTACGGTTTTCTATCACGTATAAAAGTTAATTAATGTTCAAAACTCAATAAACAACTCATATTCTATTTGTATTTTTTGTATTGATATTTAAGTCTCGAACTTTGCAAATTTAAGTTTTTTAATATGTTATTTAAAAGGAACAGAAATGACTATCTTTGGTTCATTCGTTTCCTGCAAAAATCAACTTTTGGTTGAGTCGCCATCTAGCGAGGTGCGTTTTAGTGCTTTCTTTTTTTCTTGAAATACTTCCTTATTGTTCGGCCTCTAATCGAGTAAAATGGACTCTAAACATGTTTTTCATTAGTAAATAAAATTGAAGAAATACTGCCATGATATTTAATTAACTTTATTATGTATTTTTTAAGCGTTTGTTCTATGATACTTTCAAATCCTAAAAAGTCCTCCCCATACAAAACGTTTACGATATATGGCTCAGGATTTCTTCGAGCAAATTGCGATGCTATTGCGATGGTGCCCAGACTATTAAGTTTTTTCACTGAGTTGTCTATGGTGGCGTGCATACTATCAACCGACATGTATGTGTGGCCAGGAATCAAGTAGTTTATCTGTATGATTTCGATATAATTCAGTAATAAATAATGCATAACGCAACATTGCTAGGACAGTTTTATTTTTTCTAAAAGCAGAATCACAGTACAGGATAATTTGTTTTATATTTCCACGTTTTTTTATGTACTCAAATATGCATGTGGCAATTTCGTTTGCTTCTCGTTTAGCATCAGCTTCGGTCCACAAATTCAAAATCCAAGTTGCGTGTTGCTTTTGTATATCGTGACATTATATACCGCTATTTTCCGACTTTAATATGGATTCATGTTTTCTCCGTAAAGAGTGTTCAACACTTTTTGTAGATCGAAACTTGCACAAACTGTTTCTTTGTCTATTTTATTTAGGTTTTGATGAAATATGAATCTTTTATAAGATTCTTCTTTTTCATTTTCATGAAGTTTTAACTTGTCTACCTCTTTTTCAGTTTTAACATCAAAGGACTTGTTTGAGACACATATTACATATTTGTATTTTTTAGGGACATAAAAACCAATGTTAAACGTTTTCTTGATCCAACATGAAAATACTTTAAATGACATTATTTTTTTTCCTGCACAGTGGTTTTGGTAAATACGATGGAAATTAGATACAGATTTAATTCTTCATGAAAGTATAATTTGGTAGAATCTCGTCGGCAGTTATGTGATGGCAAGAGGTGTAAATCAAGTATAATTTTTTTTGTTCTACTTCTTTAGATGTTCTGTTCTGACCTCCAGCATATCCCTGTCTGTTGTGTTGTACAAAACCATCGATCATTGTATCTAAGGTATGCAGTATAAACCTTTGCGTTATATCAATCGTCGCAATGAGGATTTTTTGGCAGACCTTACGTTCATTTTCCTTCATTTTCGTTAATTTAATATTCATATGTTTGAGATCTCTTTCTTACAGCAACTTAAGTGGGCCGTTTGATCGACCGTCTGTTTGCACATTGAGATATCCAATCATTTTTCTTTGGTAGATGTCCAAACTCCAAAAATATTTAAAAATATTATGACGTCTTTCTTTAGAAATATCACTACAGTTGTTACCACACTGAACTCCAATACAGAGATTTGGTCTCATACATTTACCTTCGACTATTAATATATGATTCTCCTTTTCTTTTCTTTTCATCGTTTGCCTTTTTTATTTCAGCCTTAGATTTACATTTCATGGATGACAGTTGATAAACTTTTACTATAGTATCTTTGCTCTTTTTCTGTTTCCTTTTCAGCTTCTTTTTTTTTTTTTTGAGTTTTACCTTAAACAAAAAACAACATCAGCATTTAAAACAAATCATCATGTAATTTGATTCGTACTCACGTTTTTAATTACATTCTTATCACGTTTTTAATCATTGCATTACCTTCTTTCAAATTGTTTTCTTCTAAGTCACTTGAGGTAGACAGACGTATCACTTAACGCCATACTTGATTCTTCCGATGGAAAAGCTTCATTCAACAGAAGACTATCAGCATCCTCATCAACGAAGTCTAGATAAGATTTATAGAATCTTCTTTTTAGATTTCTCATTGTCAGAGTCACTGATTTCAGTCAATATAGCATGCTATGTTTCAAATTTCTGTATTTTCTATTTACTTAGTTATTTTATTTAAATTCTGCTGGTTTTCTATGTCCAAATTAGGCTCCAAAGATTTTCTTCAATAAGGAACTATATTTTTCTCATGGATATAGTTTCAGAGTTACGATCAATAGTCACTTCAACTTTATATGATTCGCAAGTCGTCCAATTAGGACTATTACATGCAGAATTTTATTTGTTTCTATAGAGCATTTTTCTATAGAGGGCATATATTGAATGAAACTACCTTTTAGCGATATGCATATCTGATTTCACCTTTTGAATTAAATGTACTAGTATTGTTATTAATCTCATCAAACCAGAATGAAAAAATTGTTTTTTATAAAGTTTAATTCTTCTTCAACTGAATTTAACGTAACGTCGTAGTATGATATATTATCATGAATGTTGTCGGTGTTTGTATCGTCAAAACTTGTAATTATTTCTGATTTTGGCGAGATTTTTTTTCATAACTTCGGCAACTGCAATTAAATAATTTTGAGGTTTCCTGAAGGTTGGTGTCAGTTTTTCAACGTCCAATAGTTTTTGATAAGGGGTTTTAATATTTTCATTTTAAATTAATGAAGAAGAATTAGAAAACTGTTTATTAAGTTTATTTTTATGAGAATATACATTTCTTTCTAAACCCATCTTGTTTCTCGTACACATTTTCTTTAAGAATTTGTATCTTTTCGGTGTTTTTATTATTTCACAATTACTACATTAAATTATTATTTTTTACTAACGGTAGAATTAAGTCTAATTGTCACTTACATCATATCGATGGAGAAATCTGAAATAAATTATAATATTATTATTACGTAGGCTTTCTTGCTACATTCGTCTTTGCTCTGCCATCTAAAGATACAAGAATATTAGATCAGAGTGAATCGTAACACGCGCATCTAGGGTTCCGTACAAATGTTAAAAGTTTATATGTCACACAATATAACTAGACAGCGAAACTTTTCGAAATTTTCTATAGTGCATATACATATGTACCAAATTTCAATTCAATTGATCCCTACTGAATCGATTTTTAGAAGAAAATTAGCTATAACAGACGTACAGACAAAGAGACAACCAAATAATCCTATAAGGATTCCCATTTTTCATTTTGAGATGAGCCCTAAAAAGAGTAATTTATATTTTTAAACATGATGGTATATAGTATTAAATATAAGAATAAATAGCTATGATATGAGTAAATAATAATATTTGTGTTTTTCACATAAATAAATGCCTCTACCTATTTTCGTTCGTTGAATAATCGGAATGAACGTAATTGTAGTAGGAAACGTCCGAAATTTCGAGCGATATTTCGTTTTTCGGTGAACTAGAGTAGGCTTCCTGGACTTAAGGGCATTGTGCACTACACTGAATTTTCAGGTCCGGAAGTCCAATTTTTTGCGGCCCCATATATGTAGGTAATGCTAGTTTGTGCACTGTGAGGAATTTAATGGGCCGGAATTATACTTTTCTCTATTCCGGACCGGTTTTTTCCGGTCTGT